GTTGAGTTGATCCAAAAGCAGATCCTATGGTTTATCCAATAATTCAATTACCTTGTGTTGTTTTCTGTTTTCTTCAGCATTATTCTTTTTGTAAATGGAACTTTTAGTGACTTAACTTTAGTGTTGCTATATGCTTAAATAATTTTCGAAATCTTGCAACAGAACGTATCAAAAATAAATGTATATCATGCAGGAGATTAAAAGATAGAGAACTTCTGAGGTAGCCGACTATGCAACGTCTGAACTTTTCATAAGTGTGGACACTTCCTGGCTGAGTTCCAAGGCCTGTTTGCGCAGTTTGAGGGCCTGAAAGGTAAACAACGTGAGTAAGCGACTCGGTTTCTATATTTAGATGTACTTACCTGAGTTCTGAGCTCCTTCTCGCGGGTCACGAGTTCCTGAATTTGCGACATGACTGTGGCGCAGCTACGCTGATCTATCACCCACCGCAAATAGAGATCTGAAATCAATGGTTTATAAGCCCGTCCATCTGTAAAATTCAGTAACATACCGCTCCACAGCTCCAAGCTAATAGGCGCCACCGATGGCCATATCACATTGGCATTGGGCTCGTACAGCGGATTCAACAGTGTCTGGAGGACATCTGGCCGGTTTAGATAAGACCACAGGCTCGTCGTCCTGGTGTGGACGTTCAGTTCGCTCCGCTCTCGCTCTGAATCGCACAGAAAGGTGCCGTACTGCGAGAAATGGCTGTGCTCGAAGAGCAGGATCAGCAGCTGAGTGCTAAACTCAAAGCTGCACGGAAACTGCGTGTAAAGCTGGTAGATGCAGTCCAGGAAGAGCACAAAAGTGGCGCCAGATGTCTTGTTGCGTGTCTGATTTGGTGTATAGCATGAGAAGCGATGGCGGGAGGCGAACGGATGACCCGCCTGGATCCACTCTCGCTCTATCAAAGCTTGGAGACTGTAAGGAAAATATATATGTTTAAAACACTATTCAGTTTAGTCAATAGATGATGACTCACCCCCTCACAGTACGGCAGTCGGGATTGAGGATGATCTGCACCAGGGAGGTGACAATAAGCGTGGAGTCCAAGCCCTTGGCCCCGTGAACCAACACCGGGCTGCCCTCCTGGTCCAGGCACTGGGCCACCACACAAGAGGCATTCAGCGAGTTCAGAACGAGACTCAGCCAGCCACTGCTCTCCAGTCTCGACAGCCACTTGTCCGAGCTGCAGCCCAAATCGTTGCAGGCCTCGATCAACCGAGCAAAACTATCCAAGATCGAAGCGGGCGAGCTGACGTTGCCAATCGATCGATTGACCTTCTTCCACTGCGAATAGTGCAGGTCCGTTTCCGTGTTGGACTTGCCCTTGCCCCAAGTGTCTACGATAAAGCCTTTTCGACTGCGTCCCAGAACAAGATTAAGGATGGCCTCATCGGCACGACAGCGTTTGATGCCCTGAATGGACAGCGGCTGGGAACTGCGCATCAGCGTGGCCTGTTAATATGATTCATTGCATTAATTTAATCGAATTTGCTGCTGGTGTGCAGTGGTTGCAGTGACTTACGCCATTTTCATGCCTGTAGCTCAGCACGGGAAAACGACCGCCGTCCCGGAACGCGGCGGACAGCACTATCTGCTCGTCCGTAATTGCTTTAGGTACAATTAGCGTGGCGCCATATGTGGCACAGACGCTGAAGTCTCTGTTGACGTTGGTGATGCGCCACTCGCAGGCGGTCTGGGTGCCCTGAAGCGCTCCACCGCCCACACCACCCGCTAGGGCGTCTATCGCAAAGCCATTCTGCAGGGGATGAGGCAGGCCAGGGCCCACAGCCAGCGTCGATGTCGATGTTGATGGCATGCAAATTGTTATGTTGGCCACATTCGGCGACGACCCACCGCCCATGCCCACCCCGCTGATGAGCTTGGCGAACTCCAGCTCGGGCCTGTCGATTGAGTGGAGGGAGGATAATTGAATTGTAGCCAATTTGTCAAGGGTTGGAAAGCATGTGTACCCACCTAAACATCGTGTAGCCATCCTCCAGGATCGAATACATGGGCCGGTAGAAGAAGGGATACAGCAGCTCGGTATTTTGGATGGCACTGAGTGCCTCCAGCGATGCAGCCACATTGAAGAACTCCTTGCCGCACTTGATCTCTAGCGAGATGATGCGCAGGTCCTTGCATTTCAGGGTGATGAGGCCACCGACCACGATGTTCTGCGACAAACTGGGCTTTTTCTCCACACAGTCGATGTTCTTGTGCAGCAACTGGAAGGGGTATGAGGCGGATGTATCAGCAATTCGATTATTAGCGCTCCATTGAAGCTGAAGCACATCGGATTAGGGGAAATCTGCTTACCCACAGCTCCTGGCTGGTTTCCTGGCGGGCGCTCAGCAGCAAATGGTGCCCGGTGATGCACAGTGTGCCAACTGTTGCACCCGACGCCCCCGCATTCGAGGGGTCGTGCAGAAGGACTCCGTCCAGCTTGGGGGTCTTTATCAGGTCGGCGAATTCCATGGCGTTGGCGTCTCGCCCACGGCGGGGTGTCCGCTTTGATTTAGCCCGGGCCTAATTAACTTTTTGCATTTTGCCCCGGCTATCTCCTGTTGCCACTTGATTGCTTCTGTTGACGCCGCCGCCCACCGCCTCCTCCTTCTCCTCTCCTCTGCTCCGCCCTTCTTCTCCGCGGTTCTCCCGCCTTTCCAGGCCCTTTTTTTGAACGCACAGCACTGCGTACGTCACCGGCTCTGGCAGGGATTGGTTGTTTCTGCGGCTCTGCTGATCTGCGACAGCCAATCGAACTCGCTCCGGGAGTTTGAAACCTTTGTTGTACGCCCCCGCTTACGGCACAGATTGCATTTCTTTCTTTCGGTTTCGGTTTCCGTTCTGTGCTGTTTTTTTTTGTGCTTTCCGTAGTGTGCCCGTCGCTTACTGATAGCGAAAGCTCAGTTCTGGGAGGCACTGCCACACTGCTGGTTTTGAACCGTTATTTCCCTTTTGCAAAAATGGTTAGGATCGGGGTTAATTTCTAAAATGAACCCTTTTCTTTTCATTTTCATACCATACCAGTTTTCTTAAAAATTAAGTAATGTCGTTTAACACCTATTAGGCTACAAATACAAAATAAATAGTTAATAAGCATAAATAGTTACTAAAAATTCAAGAAATTTTTAAACTTAACGTGCTTCTTAAAAATAAGTAAAGTCAAGACTTTTGAAATAGTCACTATTTTAATTTGAATCTATTTTGTGTGATTTGCTAATTCTTTCTGAATTGCTAACTAACCCCTAACGCTCTCGCTCAAAAACCTTTTATGATCTAAAATAAAATCGAACCATTGCATACTGGGTTGCATGTCACACGCACATGCGGTCCTTTAATCCAAATAAAATTAAGAAATGATTATGATAGACTTGCAATATGGCTAAATTAAGTTTTACATATGTTACACACAGACAGCGATGCCGTTCAAAGTTTGTGGTCCGGGCCAGCAGAAGCGTCAGATACTCTTTGGAATGCGCTGCAGCAGACGGTGGCAAGGTGACTTAGTAATTGGAGTCTCCCCTTCAGCTCAAACGACTCCTGTGGGACGCACATTTGTTGGCGGCGGGGCACCACTGGGCCTTGTCATGATGTCCATGGCATTCTTGAAGAGCTGCGTCTTCACAAAGTCGGTGGCGGCAGAGTTCAGATCTTGGCTGGCGCCATAATTGCACTTGATGTAGCCGTACAGATTGGCGGCATTCAGCGCAATGGCGATCATCACTAGCAGCAGCCACTTAAACTTCAGGCCGAACAGGGCCATCAGGAAGAAGAGGCCCCAGAAGAAGGGACAGAGGATGAGTCCCAGCCAAAAGATGCGCTGCTCGTGCTTGTTGATCCGACTCTGGTAGGATTCAGACTGCGTTTCATCATCAAGGGCTATCAAGTGTGCTAATCTCGTGACTCACGTTCTTTGACTCGAACACCCAGTGCGACACTCCATCGTCGTCGACGTAGTTCCACCAGCGCAGACCCACCAGCAACCTTCCCGAGATGTTCTTGACCGTCCAGAAGTCGGCGGACAGGAAGAGCACCACGAACACAAAGCTGGTGATGAAGGAGTCGCTGAACCAGCCGCAGAACATGTAGATCACGATGGCGGCGCCCCTGAAGAACAGGTGGAAGAAGGTGACGTAGGGGTGCCTGTGGGGTGGAAAGAGGAGGGGTGGTTTCAGCTGGCTACATGGATTGGAATTCCCGGGTGGTTTTGATCTGCCTACGTGTATTTCTGGCCCGCGCGACTGGGATCCCGCATCTCGTCCTCCTCGCCAAAGGGTATCGTGTCATCGTCGAGCAGCGGCACCTGTATAACACGTAGCTTGGATTAGTTCAGCTGTTCAGGGTTTCAAGATGGGAGTTTTTCGAAGAAAACCTCGGGTCGTATTGTCATTGTGGCACACCAAAAAAGCAGCTTGTTAGGTGTTAATGCGGCATACATACATTTCTTACCGTTGCGGAGGCCATGCTTGTGTTGGGAGTGACGTCTAATTCTTAGTTGGGTTCAATTTTCATGGGGTTTTCTATGTTTTTAAGGTTTTTAATACATTTTCTTTGCCTATTTTCCAGGTTGTTGTTCTTGTTTCTGCTTGCGTAGCCGTCTATCGTTATCGCACTAGGTCGATAGCTAGTAGGGCTGTCGTGTTTCTTGGTGTGGATGTAGGTTGGCAGCACCATAAATTATCGAAACTAAAGTTATCGTTTTTGAAAATTTCAATCAATTTTTGTAACGTTTATTCGAAGTTTGTTTGGTTATTAATCTTGCTTTAATTGAATGATACGAATTATAATATATTATAAACACATTGATGGTAAACCATAAACAAAAGAATCCCAATTTTTTTTTATAAAGATCTTAATGGGTAAAACCAGAAATAACACCTCTTTAATGCTCTGTGACCTGGATTTCTCAATGCTAAATTCTTGTGGCGCAACCGCGGTGGAAGCCATTGAAATGCAGCATCCAACACTTTTCAAGTCAACCCACAACAACTTGAAAACTCCATCAGTAGCTCGTTGATCGCCTGGTTTGTCGGACGCACTTCAACTGCCAACCTTTCACGATGGAAAAATGTCGAGCTTCCTCTAGGATATTGATCGTCGGAGCAGGAGCCTCGGGAATTGCCGCCGCCACGCGACTCCTGCAGAACAACTTTGGCGATGTGCAGATCCTGGAGGCGGAGAACCGCATCGGTGGGCGGATCAACACCATCGCTTTTGGGGACAACGTCGTCGATGTGGGCGCCCAGTGGGTCCATGGCAAGGAGCGCAATTGTGTCTACGAGATGATCAAGGATATGGGCGTGGTGAGCGAGACTGGTGACTTTTTCAGCGACATCAAGAGAGTGAGGTCCAACAAGGAGGTGGTTCCGCATGAACTGGCCTGCAGCATTCACGACATTGCCTTGAGGAGCATGCCAAGTGGTCCACTTCCGGTGGTGGGATCCTTCGGCAATCACCTGGTGGAGACCTACTGGCGGAACATCGAGAGCCATTTGCCCCGGGTGGACAGGACCTTGGCCAGTGAGGCTTTGGATGCGTTTGCCAAGCATGAGAGCTCCATCATTGGTGCGGACAGCCTTTTTGAGGTCTCCGTGAGGGAACACATCGAGTATGACGAATGCGATGGCGACAAGCTGGTCCACTGGGGTACAAAGGGATACAAAAGATTCCTACGCCTGCTGATGAAGGTCGGTGAGGATACGCCCGAGGAGCTGGGCTTACTCGAGGGACGGGTTCGTCTCGGCAAGAAGGTCACCAAGATTGAATTGGCCAGCCCTCGTAAGGTGATCGTGCGCTGCGAGGATGGGGATTACTTCGAGGCGGACCACGTCATCTGCACTGTTTCCCTGGGCGTCCTGCAGGAGCAGCACGAGAGGCTCTTTGTTCCACCTCTTCCAGCGGCCAAGGTGAATGCCATTCGAGGACTCACCCTTGGGACAGTGAACAAAATGTATATGGAGTTTGAGGAGCAACCTTTTCCTAAGGATTGGGTGGGTTTCTTCTGCTTTTGGTTGGCCGAGGATCTGAAGGAGCTGCGCAAGACGGAGTACTTCTGGCTGGAAGGGATTACCGGTTGCCACAAGATCACCTGCCAGCCGCGACTTCTGATGGCCTGGGTGGGCGGATCATTTGGTCGTCACATGGAAACCCTGTCCGATGAGAAGGTCCTGGAGGGTTTGCAGTGGCTCTTCCGCAAGTTCCTTACCTTTGAGATTCCTCCACCGAAGCGCTTTCACCGCAGCAAGTGGTTCTCGAATCCGAATTTCCGCGGCACCTGGACCTTTCGTCCCACGAAGGCCGATGAACGGGAGACGGGACCCAGGGATCTGGAGGCTCCTGTGATGGGGGAGGATGGCCATCTGGGCCTGCTTTTCGCGGGAGAAGCCTCCAGCAGGAACCACTTTTCAACCGTTCACGGAGCCGTGGAGGCGGGATGGCGAGAAGCAGATCGTCTGATCAGACTCTACTCCACTTGCGGTTCCAAATCCTAAAAAAGTCTGGTTTTTGGTAATTTTCTATGTGCTTTTAATTTTTGTTGGGCTGTTTAAATTCTTCGTTTCTAAAATAAAATTATTTTAGTGGTACTTTGTCATTTATAGAAATCATGTATTTAAAGTACCTTAAAAAAGTGTTAAAAGGTTGTAAGAAGGAATGAATAAAAAGGTTTTAAATTTAATTTCTTACTGAAACAATTATAAATCAAAAGCTGGGTAGTCTGTGAGTTATATGTTAGCCTGGTTTTCTTTTCAACACAACAAATAAATAAATAAAAAGTTGAACAAAATTGCAAAACAAAAGCTCGACCGTTACTTGATTTGAAATTAGCGCACTTCATAGATTTATCGGTTATCGCATCAGCTGTTTTAAGCCCATCACTAATGTGATTTTGAAATCTTTATTTGACATAACATAACACAACAATAAAAATGCAAATAATTAGGAATTGCAGCAGCAAACTACTGAAACACAAGTACCTGTGCCAGCCGAAGGTGTACTCCCTGTACTACAGTACACTTAAAGGTGCGTCTGCCCCAGTTTCATTCATAAAACCAATGCCGGCTAAAGGATTCGTTTTCCTCCACTTGCAGATGCGGCGAAGGAGCTTCCGCTGGCCACAGGCTACCAGCCACGCCCCGTGGAGCAGGCCTATTGGGAGCGGGAGCAGCGCCAGGCGAATCTCCCCAAGCCCTCGGAAGGTGGTTGCAAAAGGGGTTCCTACCGCATGCTCCTTCCGCCGCCAAATGTCACGGGGAATCTCCACCTGGGCCATGCCCTGATGGCCACCGTGCAGGACGTGATTGCCCGCCAGCGCCAGCATCTGGGCTATGAAGTGGACTGGGTTCCAGGCACGGATCACGCGGGGATTGCCACCCAGGTGGTTGTGGAACGAACGCTTGCCGCTTCGCAGGGTAAAACACGCCAGGAATTGGGACGCCCGGCGTTTTTGGACGAAGTGTGGCGCTGGAAGGCGGAAAAGGGCACCGGCATTGTTCAGGATCTTCGCCAACTTGGCTGCCGGCTTAACTGGCAACGTGAGTACTTCACCATGGACGAGCAGCAGGCCCATGCAGTCAATGTGGCCTTCGAGCGACTCTTCGACGAGGGCCTCATCCGTAGACGCAATTCGCTGGTCAACTGGTCTACCGCTCTACGCTCCGCCATTTCCGACATCGAGGTGGATGTGATAGACATCAAGGAACCGGTGGAGATCGCCGTTCCGGGCTACGAACGCAATGTGCTCTTTGGCAGGATCTACGATTTCGCCTATCGTGTGGTGGATGGTGAAACACTGCCGGATGGTTCGGTTGAGGAGATTGTGGTGTCCACCACCAGACCAGAGACTATCCTAGGCGATGTAGCTGTAGCTGTACATCCACTCGATCCTCGCTACAGCAAGTACCGCCATTTAGAGGAGGTGAAGCTCAAGCATCCCTTCCGTGACGACACCATTCCACTCGTTTTCGACATCTCCGTGGACCAGGAGTTCGGCACGGGGGCAGTAAAGATCACTCCCGCCCATGATAAGTTTGATTTCGAGCTGGCCAATCGCCATAAGCTGGAACCCCGCCAGGTGTTCGATGAAACGGGCCATGTGCTGGAGACGTATGATGAGTTTAAGGGCAAGCCTCGTTTTGAGGCACGAGAGCTGATTGTTAACCGGCTGGAGGATTTGGATTTGTTGCGTCAGGTCCGCTCCCACAGCATGCAACTGCCCGTCTGCTCGCGCTCAAAGGATGTCATCGAGTACATGATCTTGCCGCAGTGGTACCTTAAGTGCAAGGATTTGGCTAGGGATGCCTTATCCGAACTTCACAGTGGCCGGCTGCAAATCCAACCGCCTAGCTTCGAAACGGAGTGGGAACGCTGGTTGCAGGACAGCCGTGACTGGTGCATATCCAGGCAGTTGTGGTGGGGCCATCAGGTGCCTGCCTACGAGGTGACCGACTCCAAGGGCAATACCCAATGGGTGGCCGCCGTTAACGAGAAAGCAGCCAAGCAGAAAGCCATAGAGCTTGTGGGGAGCGAGGAGTTCACTTTGAAGCGTGATCCGGATGTGCTGGACACTTGGTTCTCCTCGTCACTGCTGCCCTTTTCCACAGCCGGTTGGCCGAATGAGAGCTACAAGGAGCGGTATCCTCTGGACCTGATGCAGACGGGCCACGATATTCTCTTCTTTTGGGTGGCGCGCATGATGATGATGGGTCTGAAGTTGACCGGCGAGGCTCCATTCCAGAGGATTCTGCTAAATGGCATTGTGTGCGATGCCCAGGGCAGAAAGATGTCCAAGAGTCTCGGTAATATAGTGGCTCCACAGCAGGTGGTTCAGGGAGCCAGTTTGGAGGTGAGTCAAGGTTCTCCCACGTTTTATTATTTTTAGCTTTTGGTATTACTTCCAGAGCCTCAAAGCTGTTCTAGAACAATCCTGCGAGGCGGGCATCATTAAGCCCGAGGAGTTAAAAACCTCAACGGCTGGAATGACCAAGATGTTCCCCAAAGGCATCCAGGAGTGCGGCACCGATGCCCTTCGCTTCACCCTGATGAGCCACAACATTAAAAGCCACTTCATCAGCTTTGATGTGAACGCCTGTTACACCAACAAGCTGTTTCTTAACAAGATCTGGCAAGCAATGCGGTTCACGCTGGGCTCCGCCAAGTCCCTAGGAATCTCACTGGACCAGTTTGAGACTCTTGAAGGCGTCACTCTGGGCGTGTGGGATCGCTGGATCATCGGCCGCCTGGCGGAAACTTTGTCCACTTGCTCACAGAGCTACACTACCTACAATTTTCATTTGGCCACAGCAGCCTTGAAGACCTTTTTCTATCAAAATCTCTGTGATATTTACTTGGTGAGTGTGGTTACTCAATGTTCGCTATTCGTCCTCTAAAGTAGAGTTTCTGAATCCATAGGAGACCACCAAAACGGCGATAGCAAATCGCACTGGCGATGCCTATATCCATGTTGGCACGCTGGCTGCTTGTCTGAGCTGGGGATTACAGGCCTTGGCACCATTTACTCCCTTCGTGGCCTCCGAGCTGCTACAGCATGTGCCTTTGAATATCGAGCTTAAGTTGTCCGATTACCAGGACTCCAAGCTGGAGGAAGAGGTCAACGAAATTGTGAGCATCTGCCAGAACGTTCGCCAGGTGAAGAGTCGCAACGAGATCAGCAAGCGGCACCAGCCTCGTCTCAGCCTGTTTGCCCAGAATACCGACTCTGAGGGCATACTTCGTCGCCACCTGTCGGAGATCCAGGTGCTAACCCGTTGCGAAGACGTGGAACTGGAACTTCTCGACGAGAGCGCGAAGATTTCAAAGCAGCTCAGTTTCTTCTCGACGGCAGGGGCACTATGCTCCTTTGGCTTGAAAGTGGGCGATGCTTTGGCCTTGACGGAGGAGAAGCGCAATGAGATGCAGTTGGTGAACACCAAAAAGCTAAAGAAACTGGTCAATGAGCTGCAGCGGTACCGCATGCGCCTGGACAACGAAGCCTTCCAGCTGATGGCCGACAAGGCCGTTAAAACGCATTTCGAAAATAAGGTAGTGAGCCTAAAATGCTTGGAAGTTAAGGAAGTTAATTTTTCGATATATTTTTATTGCAGGTTAAAGAACTAGAGGCGGAGATCAACAGTCTCACCCGGATGGCAGCGTGATCCTAATCCCTGGTTTACAAAATGAGTTTAGATAATACCTTTGTTATTGTTTTACAATCGCCTAAGTCGTCTGTTTGTTATAGAATTAAAGACTGCAATATTTATTAAATGCACTTGTACCATACGAACCTAAAGTAAATACCTATATCTAACTTCATGTTAGGAAATTTTAGATGAACATTTCCACGATTGAACATTTCCGTTTTAAACCGCTAACACTTTTGTCACAGAAAACCGCAAAATAATATATATTTTTCTTGGAATGGATCAAAACTCCCATTAGATCATTTTTGCTAATTGATGCTTTCACGAAACATTGAAAACAAACATATAGAATTGGTTTGGATTGGAAATGGACATTGTTTTGATACTTTCCAATGTTAATTAAGTTCCTATTTTTCAAAGAGTACATGGGAGGGTGCCCTCTTCCTTTTCAGAAACATTTATCTGCTTTGTTATGCTATCATTAATCAAGTCTTTTTTTATTTTATAACATATTTACAGAATGGGACAGGCGTTCTGCGAATACGACAAGGAGAAGCCGCGATTCGAAATGTCCATATCCTCATTACCATCGGTGACCGTGTAGACCACGAAAGGCTTAGCCGCCGTTGTCGTGGACACCAGTCCCAGGCCACAAAACCGATCGCTGGGCATCGAGACTCCGCCCTGCGTGGGCACCGGAATGACGATGTAGTCTGTGGTGCAGTCCTGGCTCTGGACGGAGGAGGTGGCCAGCAGCGTGGGATCCACGGCACCCACATCGTTGGTCAGCGTGAAGGAGTACGTGTCGGAGCCGACCTGGCTGTAGGTGATGGAACACATTCCGGCCGCCTTGCGGATGCAGATCCCGTAGTTGGTGTTCGCCAACTGCCTGGTGCCCTGCACCCCAATGGAATTGAGGGCGGCGGAAGCTGGCGAATTGTAATTAAAGCTGGACAAGGTGCCACTGCTGGGCATATAGTACTGCAGGCATCCGGCCGGAGCCAAAGTGGCCGACGTGCAGGCCAGCATTCTAATCTGGAACTGCCAGTTGCGATTGAATGTATAGCTTCCAGATGTGGCCACTGAGATGGTGATCGGATTGACCCCGTTGAAGTCCACATATATATGCTGTCCGGAGTTCTCTCCGCAGATGGTTGGCACTTGGGAGGTTCCTCCGGTGATGGTCAAGGCATCGGTGGTGCAGGATCCATCGCCCGTAGGAGGAGCCAGCGAAAGGGAGAGGAAGTCCACGCGCATCTGACAGATGGTTGAATCCGGCGGAGTAACCACAATGGAACAGCGTCCGCCGCCCGCATAAGGAGCTGGATAATTGCTGTTGTAGAAGTATGTGTTGTTGTACGTAGTACTCGCTCCACAAGTCCTTTGATCTGTTTGGAAGGAATATTATTTAGTACTTAAGAAGGTATTTTATATCCAGATAGTATGCACTTACAAATACAGCAGATGGCCTGGGCCGTAATGGTGGAACAGCTGCCCGCCGCCACTCCACTGTTGTCCGTGCACTCTCCGTTGATTACGCAGGTGCCCAGGAGCAAATTGTTGCCAGTGCAAATGTCATTGGAAAAGCGCCCAATTGTGTAGAAGGGAAACCCTGGGAAAAGAAGAAATTCTCATTGAAATGGCATTGAAAATTCTCTGGAAGGGTAGGGAGATTTACGATTCTAGGGAACCTAGAGGCTTTGTTATTCAAAGAACTTGCTATCAGCCGCCCTTTATCACCTTGTAAAACCCTATAAGATAACTTTACAGTAAACATTCTATTTCTTCAATATATATTTTTTAGGAATATATGAATAAGTTGTAATATCAATAAAGACTATCTTGTAAAATGTTTACAAACGAATAACAAATAATGTTTCTTGCAATATTGTTCTTTGCAAAACAAGTTTAGATGAATAGCAATGAAAATAACTATTTTAAAGTTTGTCGTTTTAATAGATAATTGGATTTTTTTTTAAATTTTTTATCGTAAATAATTTCCCAAAAAGAAAATGAGTTACCAAACACACAGATAAGAAGGTAAATTATCACTTTTCATCTGTTAGGAGTTCAGTTGCTTTAAAATCATCTTATGGAGGTTTCACTTTATATTCGAGAAATGCAATGCGCAAATGGAAACGTTTGCCGCAGCAGCAATGATGATTGTATGGCAATGAAACACCTAAGACTAAAGAATCCACCTGCGGTACATGTACAGTGGGTGATAATTGAGGCCTGACCCACATACTTCCACCACGACGGAAAAACAAACTGCCGGCATTCATCCGGTCCGATCTTCGCAAGAGTCACCTGCTGTGGAGCTCAAACTTACAGCGAGGATGTCGTGATCCACTGCGGGCCAAGCTGGAATCCTCCTCCGCTGTGAGGAGGGTATCATTCCCCAGGATCAGGCTATCATTGCCCAGGATAAGGGATTCGTTATATTTCGAATCTGAAGACAAGGCCGATCTGCTGGCACGTGCCGCACTGTAGATGCCCACTATGTAGCTGCTGAAGAAGATGGCCACGAGGGCCAAAAGCTGCGACGAACGACCACCGGCAGACATGATAATCGGATATCGTATGGATCACTTTCGGTTTTCACTCGGGAAGCTGGAGCTAGAGTTGCTGGAACGGATTGGCTACCGATCGAGAGAGACGTGCATCCGCGCGTGTGACACAATGGAGACTGAGCCGATGGGGACTCGACTTCTGGGGGCACAGTCAGTTGGGCCAGGCCAGTGGGCCTCACAGGTGCTAATTGAGAGAACCCGACTACTCATGCACCATTTCCAGGGACGGCTGGAGTTCCCCGAAATGCATGTTCCGTTTTTATAAGCCATATAAGTTTACAATCGAAATATTTTTACCTTTAAGGTATTTACTTCGCCTAAGATAACGTTCTATTAGTAAACTAATGATTTCCAGCAGCTATGGTCTTTAGATCGAGTAAGTTATAATATTTGATTTAGGGTTATTAATTGTAGGGTTTTCGGAATATATTTTTTAGTATTTTAAGTCCCTTGTGTGTATAATATTTTTACAAAGCTAATGCTTTTATTCTTTTTTATTTATTTTTAATTATAGTTAAATTATTGAACCCAAGTAATAGGTATAAGTATTTTCTTATTGTCAGTTCTGTAACATTGTCTTAAATAATCTTGTAAAGTAAACTACATTTTTTTAATTTTAAGAAGTAGGTATATCCAACAACAATCTTGTATGTAAAATAAGTATTACTGAAAAAGGGTTTATTTAGGAAAACATTTTTTGATATAATAATTTTAGGATCTTATACATAAGTAAGGAGAATTAAGCTTGTATAGGACTTAAAACACTTTATAAACTGCGCACTTCAAACCTTCCGACCCATTTTCGATTTTGAATGAACGAATTTCACCATGTAGTCAAGACCCCCATCCGCTCCTGTCCGGAGATCGTGTGGGGCTTATTTCACTTGGTTGAGAGAGAATGTGGAGCACTCACGCATGGGAAGTGCTCGGTTCCTAACTCGTATTGGCTTTATTCGTTACCCGAATTTACGCGTACCGCTTCTGGACGACAACAAACAAATTTCTGGGCGAGGAAAGTGATAGAAATGCCTGGCACTGGCACTGCTACCCAATTTGGCGGTTTGCGCACGCGTGCAGCGCCGCATGATTCCTCGGATCGGATAAAAGAAAGTGTCCGTCTGTTTGCTCTTCTCTCCGCCGGTATGTGTAAGTCCAGCTCTACGGGCCTCTTCTTTCCGCTCGAGCCAGTTTTAGTGGCTATAAATAAAATTGAAAACTCGGTTCCATTGTGATCGGTACGCTTACAGATGATGTAACGGTACAATCTCTATGAGTTTGGCGCGTGTTTTTGACTCATATCGTCTGCTGATCGATCTGCTTTGCTGCGTTTTACTAGAACGCTACACGCACGACTCCAATTAGCAGGATATCACTAATCGGCGACTATGCGGACACACTAATTAAGGTTTAATCTCAAAAGGAAGGTAAAAGTGGATGGGCTTTAATTGTTTTTCAGGGCGAAGCGTAGAAAGTTGCAAGTGCTCTTCCGCGTTGCCAACTTCCGAGCGATCTATGAATGTTACTAGGGTGCTGTTAAGGCTCTACAAACCAAGTACACTAGTTAATAAAAACCTTATAATTACCTTAAAATTTTTTTACCATTCTTATATTTTAATATATTTAACAAATGTTTGTTATAAAATTATTATTTTAAATACTTAGGCATGATAAAAATGTTTGTATGTTAGTGTGTGAAAAACATGGTTTTCTAAGTCCTTTGATTTTTTAAAAATAATAACAAGGAGAAATTGCACATGTTTAAGAAGTTAAAAGGGCCAACCAATAAATAAAAAGATTTTTAACATACATATCTCTTGGCTTTATAAACAGAGACATTTGAAACTTGGCCAATGAGAAATAAATGGAAATATCTAACACTTTTAGAGAAATAAATAAACATTGAATATGAATGAATTGTTTATAAAAAACAATTGAAAATAAAAAACGAAGAAGTAAAGCTTATTAAAAGCGTTAATTTTAGAGAAAGATTACATAATAACTGCCTGGCTTATAAAATCAAATGAATAAATTTAAATATAATAAAAAGCATTTAAGTATTTGAAAAACTTCTGTTTAGAACATCAATTTCTTTAATTCAGCGCAAGTGACAAAAGCCTGAAAGCGTGCGCTATTACATAAAGTCAACAAACGGATACTGAAGGTGTATTTTCAAATTGAAAAGACTAAATACTAATATGGCGCTAGAAAGATATCCTTCGGCCTTACAGAAAACCATTAATCGGTTAAATAAAAGTTAAGTTTACAGCAAATGTTGCCTGGCTTTTTATTAAAACAGTAACTAGCAGCTAAACGCAAAATGGGTAAACGAAGGCACCGCCGGCGATCCTACTCGATCTCGATGATGGCGCCCGCCTTGGCCAACGCCTCCTTAAGCTTCTCGGCCTCCTCCTTGGGGATGTCCTCCTTGACGATGGTCGGTGCGCTCTCGACGAACTTCTTGGCCTGGACGAGGTTCATGCCCTCCAAGAGGTTCTTCACCTCCTTGATCAGCGCCACCTTTTGCTTCTCGTCGAACTTGACCAGCTTTACCTTGAAGGAGGTCTGCACCTTCTTGGGCGCCGCCTCCTCCTCATCCTCGGCGGGAGCAGCACGTGCCGGTCCAGCGGCAAATTGTGGGGCAAATGCGGTCTCGGGCAGGTTGAGTTTCTGTTTGAGCAGAGTGCTCAGCTCGGCCACCTCGAGGAGATTGAGGGCGGCGATGTTGTTGACGATGGAGTCCAGCTTGGCGTTGGGTGGCTTGGCAACTCCTTCCGGCGTGGGAGGCACCAGTTTCTCCGATCCCGAAACCGCGGCAGCCGGAGCCGCTGCGCTGTACATGCGATGCAACTGCACTTGGCGCGAAATCTGACGCAGGGCGAGGCGTGTGATGTGCATCTTACTGGTATCTGCAAGGCTTAAGTTAGCAAATAGCTTAATATTCAGTAATATTCCATTTACTTGCGGTTTTCGGGTAACAAAATAAATTCCAACAGCAGGTTATGTGAGCAGTAGTATGACCGTGGTGATATCAATCAGTTATACCGTCCGGCTCTGATAATATACTTTTAATACCACATTTTCAAATATACCAAAAGTATTCCCAAGGGTCATGCTGATAAACGTTCTTAAATGGCATTACCATGCTTGATGTTTATTTAAACGGTTTAAAAAAGTAACGATTGTAAAATCGAAAACCAAATTAATTATTTTTTATTTCAAAATTGATATAGCCTTTTGATTTTGCATTTTCTGATAACATTATTAAGACGAAATGACTACAGATTTTCAAGTAATGTAAAGAATAGTTGCAACTCCCAATAGTTGCATCCCAAAAGAATAATTTGACTTATATTTTTGAAGATATGTATTAGGAAAATTATTATTTTTTATTAAAATCATTAAATGCATTCATTTGAAGTAGGTTTTTTCTAGCACCTAGGCACTCGCTATAAACTAAATACATTTTTTGTAATGTTTTTTTGTATAAACTATTAGATGTTGTTTATTACATTTTATTTGTAAAGTTTGTAGCAGAATCTGCAATTAATTACAGAGATTACAAAGAGTACACCTTGACATAGTCGATCTTCATGTGGCCCTCGTCCAGCCAGTGGTCTCGATTCTTCTTGACATCCTTCCAAAAGGCCTTCTGTGCCTGCGGGGCTCGCTCGTTCCAGGGCTTCACCACGTGCTGGTACTCGTTGAACCCACCCACGCCGAGACCAAAGGTCAGGTAGAACTCCTGGTCGAAGGGTGCCAGTCCAGTGCCCTCCTCCAGTTTCTGGGCTTGAGGCAATCGTTTCCCTGCGGCAGTTGTCTCACTAAAAGCTCCCTTATCACTCCCCTGGACGCAGAACTCCTTGCCGTCCACCAGCCAGCGAAGTTCCTTGGGCGTCCATTCGAGGGTGTAGTTGTGGAAGCTATCGCTCCAGTCCTCCGAATTGTCCCCAGTTCCCGCCTTCAGGCAATTCTTTACCGAACGCAGGGGTTCATCTGCGAACATCACGGCGGCGGCATAGAGATCCAAGTTAGCTCCATTCGGACGGGTGTAGGCAATTCTCAGTTGTCCTGAGCGGTAGTCATCCGTTCCGTAGGCGGGATACTTGGGCTGCAGCCAGATTTGTGGAGTGACCCACAGGGCCCTTGGCATCTTGGCTCGCACCTCAACACGACCGTATTTAAAGGAGAAAGCCTTGGAGGAGAACTGGGCGGTGACCATCGGCGGAAGTCCGTCGTTCATGGTCCTGCCATTCCTTACACAATCATGGGTGTTGGCTACCCCAGTGCACTTTTCACCCAGATCCAGGCTGGCCTCTGATCCCTTGTGGAAGTGCTTCTTCATCGTATTCGTAGAGAGCACCACATGTCCGTTGGCCAGGCACAAGGTATCCGGGGCATCGTCCACATAGACATTAAACTCATAATCGGGTTGTCCGGAAAACCTGCGCTCCGCTTTCCATTTGTTGGGATCCAGTTTGGCAGCATTAAACTCATCCACGAACACCAACTGACCGGCACAGCGAGTGGGTGCTCCATTGACCTCCGTTTTAGGCGTATTACAACCCACTCTAATATCGATGTCCGGATCGGGAGGTGGACTCCAGGGGGTGGTGGAGACAGGGGCTACGGGTGGACGCGGAGTGATCGCAGAGGTGCTATTACCACTGTAGCCATTGACCACAAACGACCCGTCGTCTTCGCGATAACCCAGTCCATTGTAGATAACGTACGTCCAGTAGTACAGGGTGTCGCCGGGTTTCAGGGCCGTCGTCCGATCTCGGAAGGTCCAGCGTCCGTTTTTCGCCTTCACGATGTCCCTTGCCCAGGTGCCCGCCTCCAGACCCTCCATCTCCTCGTTCAGTTTGCCATGAAAGGCGAACAGACTGATGCCCTCCTCGTCGGGAATTGAGACCTCGAATCCCTTGGGGTAGAACACCTCTATCTTGGCCTTGGTCACTTCATATCCCCGGACGCCAAGGAGGAGAACCAACAGGAGGAGGCAGCAGCTCCAGGCGACAGAACGCGATGCATCCGCCATCGTGGGAATAACGTTTGAAACTGCGATGAGCGGTCAGACAAGTCGTGCTTGGGAATCCGAGAAGCTTATCAAGAACCGGTCCGGGCTTTGTTTGTTATAACGCACGCAGAAAAATCATAGTACTATCTGTTCCAAAGTGCAATCAGATTAATAAATAATAAAATAAAGAGTGATAACTAATAAAGAGTTGTTACACTTTAATTGATTTGTATTAATACTAATACTGAAATATGTTTATGGTTATATAATATTTAGTATAAAAAAAGGAAAAAGGAAAATATAAAAAGAAAATAAAGAAACTTTTGTTTTCAAGTTAACAAATATTTTCCCTCTGTGTATCAACCTGTAGGGAATGTCTGCGAATCCATAAAATAAAGAAGAGAGACAAAGTACCAATAAAAAGAACTCGGGATTTACCCAAGCACAGTCGGGAGCGTAAATTTGTATGAGTCAAAAATAAGTAAACAAATATTCGCAAATAGTTTATGGTTATATAATATTTAGTATAAAAAAAGGTAAAAGGAAAATATAAAAAGAAAATAAAGAAACTTTTGTTTTCAAGTTAACAAATATTTTCCCTCTGTGTATCAACCTGTAGGGAATGTCTGCGAATCCATAAAATAAAGAAGAGAGACAAAGTACCAATAAAAAGAACTCGGGATTTACCCAAGCACAGTCGGGAGCGTAAATTTGTATGAGTCAAAAATAAGTAAACAAATATTCGCAAATAGTCATAGCAAAAGAGGCTTGTCTAAACATCGTCTTATTTATTTCAAAAAGCCCGCTCAATTATTGGTAATGTTTCCTAACACTGAGAAGTCAGCTGTTTGTGGTCCATCGCTAACAAGTATATCGGAGAAGGGTATTTCAAAGTATATAAGCGTAAATGGGAACTTAGCTTTTACTAGCTTAATTAACAATAAGGCAAAGTAAAAAAATTTAAATATATAACCAAAATAAGATTAAAAGAAATATAAACACGAGAGAAATTATAGTTTCTTCCTAAAAGATAATTTATCAATGTCTCCAATCCACCTTATTTTGTGAAGGGTATCCCACTGTCGATCCACTTTCCAAATAATAAGCTCCGCCGCGCAGCAGGCGACGAATTTCGATGAAATTCTGAGTCTCGTCCGAGAATCTGATTAGCTTTCGTTCTCTCGGTAGAAAAATTTGTAGAAAATATGCCACACGAAAAAAAAATAACGAAAAAAAATGAACATATTTTTGTAAAGTATATATAATAAACGAGCAAGTGTCCGCGTATATTTTGTGGGTTCGCATTTTCTAAGACAGTGTTTTTGTGTGTAATTTAACTGAAAACTTTTGGCCAAATAACGAAACGCAACGCAAAGAGGACAACAAAAGACAATAACAAATTCGCAGCGCGAGTGTCGGTGAGTGTGCGTCCGTGCGTGGTGGTGTGTGTGCAGGTGTCAAAAGAACGCGGAGATAAACAAATAACCAAGTGGATCGTTGGAGCTGTTTTGTTATTGTAAGTAATGCAGATTTATGTAATTCGCTTGTGTGTTGGTGTTTTTTGTGCTGTTTCTCTTTTAAGAAACAGCTGTGGCGTTGCCACATGGCAAATCGCTTTATGTAATGGCCTGCCATTCTTAATTACGCTTAATCGCAGCGCTTAACTTAATTGTTACAGCATTTCGAGGGCATTATTTATTTTCCTAGCTAATTACGAGTGACATGTAAAGTTATCGATATATCGATTGGCGGGGATTACATGGCAACACTGCGCAGCGTCCAAAGCAGCTGTTGTTGTAAGGGGTGGGAAAAAGGGGGCGGAAAAGCACATAGCACGAAACACCGCACGAAAGCAAAACAAGCGAGAATGATTGATTTTTCGTCGTGCGTCGTCGGGAAAAGTAGGCGAACGGCAGCTCAGCTTCGCGGAAAAGCGGACAGCAGTGAAAACTTTTAGTATCACAGTCGTTGCTGACGAGCGGAAGGGACCGCAGCTCGGAAAAATCAGGAAAAGCTAAAATCACGCGAGGGCCCCCGTCTTTTTTTTACAAGAGTTTCAACATAAATCGTTTAGTGTAAATAGTTATTATCCGTTTTCTTACCAAATTGCCAGTGCAAATGCCGTATTAGTGCTGTGTTAAGAGAGAGAGTTTACCGTTAAGCGGAAGTGGAGAACCGAGTGCAAAGGAATTTTCCTACGTCACAGGCTGTGCTGTGAGTGTGTGTTTGTGTGAGTGTGCACCCCCGGAAATGTAACACGCACACACTGGCGCAGTGAAAAACTTGCACCTGAAAGTTTTCGTCGTGTTTTCCACCTTCGTGCGCCTGCTCTCGGCATTTCGACAAGAAAATAGAAAAAACGCAGTAAAAGGTTAGTTTTCCGTTCTGCAGTGCACCTGTCAAAAATCCTATTTAAAATTCTGACTTATTTGCCCCAGTTTTCATCCAGGGCTGGCATTATCTACCGTTAGCGCGTGTGTATATTATGTGAGTGGTGTGCGAGTGTGTGTGCGAGAGTGTGTACGTAACCAATTGGAACTGGGGCAACTGGCAAATACGGCAACGAATCGGTGGAGCAAAGCAAACGCCGCAATAAACCCCTAAAAAATCTCCAACCCCGTGAAGCGAGCGCGAGAAAAGCTGGCTGAAAGCTGCAACTTGGCCCAGTTACTTTGGCTCTAATTGCAGACGTGATAATAGAAGTGCACACAAAGCATAAAAAAAAGTATAATGGGGGTTGGGGCGAAAAACGAAGAATAATAGAAACAGCAGCAGCATAACAAACAAAAACAAAACTTCATTTGCCAAGAGTTTTTCTAACCAAATTTGTTTGCCCACACACTCGAAAGATAAAGATAAAAAGATACAATTGCATCTCGTTTAGCGATGAGCTGCTCTTCAACTTTTCTCGGCTTCTGAGTTCTCGAGTTGGTAAACAAAGTCTAGGATTTCGGGGGTGGCAGGTATCATAACTGGTTTTTAACTTAACACTTGGCCACAATCAGGGGTAGTTTTTTAATGGGTTTTCTCGACACTCTTTAAAGCATTAGCACCCAGCAAGATGTTGGATTTTATATTCACAGCTACCGACATTATTTAGATACATTTAGAACAGGTTTAATTTTTCCTGGCACTTTAAAAATTCGAACATAATTATATCCTTTTCAAACTTATTCGAAAATGATCTTAAAGGCTTTAATAATAAAGATTCTCCTATTTAAAGTATAGAGGTATAATATAATACAAGAAAATATTTTGAATATAACCTAGTTTTACAACTTAAATCTAAATTCAAATCTAAATTATTATCGTTCCGAGGAAAATTATTCTTTTGAAATTGGAAAAACACTAAGGACTACGACTATCAGATTCTAAAAGAGAGTTAATTGATAAATTTTTAACCAATGATTAAACTTCAAAAGGGACTTATCGAAAAGTTTTCCATAAAAGGTTTTACTTTTATAAGGATTGGGTGCATATTTTGTTCTATAGATAGTCTGCGGGTTATCCCCATTTCTGAAATACCAGAAATATCCCGTAATTATCCTTTCGTGCCTCTCGTGACTGGGAGCCCCCGAATATACCCCTAAAAGGCCCCATCCCTGATTCTCCGCTCTTTTGAGGCTGTGCCAAGCAGTCTGTGCTTTTGGCGGCACATTACACTTGTTTACTTTTCAAGTGTGCGTGTGTTCGTCTATGTGTGAGTGAGTGTTTAGTAGTGTGTGTGGGGTTGTGTGTGTGTGTGCTCCATGGGGGCGTTACTGTCTTTGTTGTTTTTGTTATTGCTACGCGTTGTCGTCGTCGTTTCTTCTTCGGCTGTTTTTTGGGGGTCGCTCTCGTCTCGTTTGTAGGGCAAAATTATGTATTGATTATGCCCGTTTTATTTTCCTTTTGCCACAGGGGCTGCTGGCCGTTGGTACTGCAAAAGTGAGGGGCACATGCGGTCGGCTTTTTCATGCCCGAGTGAGCCATTTCATTGGCACAACGTTTTCGTTGTCTCTGCATTTAACTAATTAAGAGCCCCCTGCCCACCAGCCTCCCCCCTTTTTTCCGAACAATAGACGTTTTCCGGTCGCTCAGCCCAAAATGAAGTGCGTGTCCAGGGACGGACGAAAAGCTTTAGAAATTGGATATTTTAGTACACAGAAGAAATTTGAATAGTTGTTCTATCTCTTAATCTTAACCTAAAATTGGATAAAAAAGTTTGAAATTACTTATTTCAAGATACCAAACCATTTACCAAATATTTTGACAAATGTCAAGAACGTTACAATACACTAATATAGGCTACACTCTTCTGAAAGTGTTTTCTAAGGGTTTATAACACCCTTGAGGTACGCAACATTTTACTAAGTGCCAGTATCTCATTCTCTCTCTAGAGGTTTTTTCCTGGATCAGTTTTTTTTATGATCATATCAGAAATCCCTGTATTTTAATTTATAAGTTTGACATCTAATGTATTTCTACGTTTTCTACAGAAAATGTAAATATATGAAGTCTGTATAATAAAAGTGAATCGAATTTCGTCCAGTGTATGTATACCTTATACATTGTATGCAAAATGGGTAGCATATTTGACCGACATCGGGAACAGCGGGCTCTGAAAATCGTTTGCCCCCGGGGGTGGCTTTTGTAATTGGAAAAGCGATCAATTGTAATCCCCCACCGGCGGGTTTTCACTTGAATAGCGCTACAAATTTAGAACTCACTACCCCATTATCAGGCCATATCTACACACATTTATTACTCATGCTGAAAATACGAAAAGCAAAAGTTTAGAACAGCACTTGTTTGTTTGTTATTTTTGTGCCGTCGCTTGCCAAGTTTCTTTTTATCAATAATATGATTGATTGCTGTTCGGTTCCATTGTTTTCTTTTTTTTCTCCTTTTGATGTTGTCGTTCCCACAACACGCACTGCACATTTTATGACCCATTTTATCGTGGCCTTTTCGTTGTTAGCCCGATATAAGGGGAACGTGAATAGATAGTGAATTTGTAGTTGGCCATAAAAATAGCTCCGACGTATCGAAACGCAATTACCAATGCCCTC